TTTATAAATACATACATAATATATGAATACATATATATAATAATAATAATAGTCAGTTTTATTATACACTGGCTATTACCGCGACTTCATACACTTGAAATTAAATTTAATTTTTTTGGTGAATCAACAAAAATTTTTAAATATAAAAGTATCCTATGTTCTATATATATAACATGGAATTCTTATAATTTCGCATATAAACATATTTTGTTATATATTATTATTTATAAAATAAAATGATAAATAATCTAAATATTATATACATAACTCAAAGGTGACTGACTGACATAGTGATCTATCAACGCACAGCCTAACCACTGGACGGATCGGGCTGAAATTTGGCATGCAGATAGATGTTATGACGTAGGCATCCGCAAAAAGGATTTTGATTAATTCTACCCCCAAGGGGAGAAAAAAAGAGGAAATGAAAGTTTGTATGAAACTTTCTCAATTTTAAACCGATCGGACTGAGACTTTGCATGCATAAAGCTACTATGACGTAGGCATCTCCATTGAAAGGATTTTGATAAATTCCACACCTAAGGGGATAAATTAACGCGAGCGAAGCCGCGGGCAAAAGCTAGTTATATATCTGTGAACATATAAGCATACCGTGGCGACCAGTACTTAAGGCAACACTGTACTCCAAACTCGCTAACTCCTTGATAGGTTTTTATACTATATTTTAATTTTATAATTATATTTTATTGACATATTCTTTTCACGCAGCGTGGGGAGGCCTCCAGCAAGGTGGACCGACGATCTGGTCAAGATCGCTGGAAGGCATTGGATGCGAGCAGCGCAGGACCGATCGTCGTGGAGATCTTTGGGGGAGGCATATGTCCAGCAGTGGACGTCTTCCGGGCTGCGATGATGATGATGATCATCATCATCATCTTTTTGTTATATTCTATTATATATCGCTGTCGTATTAGTTGCATTTTATCTCTGCATTTTCCTTATTAAAACCCTCAGCACCTCTCACGCATCAGACACATTAGATACCTCCGCTTCAAACATTATATACCTGAACTTTTGCAGGGATAATAATTGTAACTTTATAGTGTAGGTTTTGTTGGTCGCTCAAATAAATAAATAAATAAATTTATTTATACTAATAATATGAAGATTTCTCTTTAAGTGTATTTAGTTTTGAGGAATATAACTCAGTAACCACTAAACCGATTTGGTAAATTCTTTAACTGTTTGAAAGATCATATCTTAATCTTAATAAAATTATAAACGCGAAAGTTTGTAAGTATGTTTGTTACTAATTCACGCAAAAACTACTGAATGGATTTTGATGAAACTTTACAGTAAAATAGCTTAGACATCAGAGTAACATATAGGCTATATTTTTTATTGAAATTTAACGCGGATGAAACCGCGAGCACTGCTAATATAAATGATGTTAATATCATATAACTCAAGTAGTTATGAGCCTCTATGTAAAACCGGGGTGTGCCACTAGTTTTAATGTAGTTGATATTTTTAAATAAATAAATTTATATAAACATTACATTTAGAATGTAACTAAATGTTAATATCACTTTACATTCAAAACACAACTAAATGTATAATTATTTATATTGTTCACCGGTTTGTAACACGAATAATTGTATGGTAAATAAAGGTATTTACCTCTCACGATATAAATAATGTATAATAAACACGATAAGTTTAAAAATAACTAAAAGTTAATAGTTATATACAAATATACTTTAAAAATAATTATTTTTTGTTTTATTAATAGAGTTAAATAAGTTTTAATAAGAATAATTACTGTGTACAAAACGCGAAAGTTTAAAAATATGTATTACTTATCTTGTTAAATAATCACTAAACAAAAAAAGAAAAAAATCTGCTACATTTTTAATTGAACGACATAAGAAAATGCTACGAGTAAACTACAGTGACTAAGAAAGGTATATAAAGGTACCATTGCTTTAAAAATTCACATTATATAATATATATAGTGGTTATATAGTATATCGGTAAATTAATACTATTTTGACAAAAAATTGCAACTAGTTAAATCTATGAACACGCATTTAAGTATGTATAATTTTAATATATTGCATAAATGTGAGGATTTTATAACGGAAAAATAAGAAATAATGTGTTTATTAGTTATTAATTAATAATTATTTAAATTAAAAACGAAATTAAGTAAAGTAGTGTTGATATGTAATCACTCGTAACAAACACAAATCTGTCCATAAAAACCATTAGATCCTTCACACCGATTATATATAAAACGAAAATATTAATAATATCGAAAATAATGTATAATGTAATAGGTATGTTTAAAAAAACATCGCCGGCCACAATAGCGCGTTGTCCTAAATTGAGGTTATCCAAATCAGTCTAACATATTTTTTGTGCAAATAATTTTATCATCATGCCACGACCTTGCTCCCAGCTATCGCCAAATTTTGCTAGTCCTAAACGCCACGTATGATAAACTAGACATTCTAGAATAACTCACCGGAATTATTTAAATTTTCATTTAACAAAAATATAACCGTATAATCACTGTGCACTGCACTTCACTTGTGTTTAATTAAAAAAAAAAGTTCGATCGCTAGTAGTAGTTTGGAGGATGTGTGCCGCGTAAGTGCAATAAGTCGTTTTGTTTGTGTGGGTCGCGTAATGCACATCGCGCGTTCGCCGGCGATCGCCGACTGGCGGCGCGCACGCAACACTCGCAGTTCGCGCCCCCCCAAAAAATATGCCGCGAAAATATGGCGGGAGGAATACACGCAAAAACTGAAGGGGTGCCGCTCGTTTCTCGCGCTGTGAGGCTGTATGCTAATCCATCGTGTGCTCGGGCCCTTTTTTCCGGGGTGGGGGGTGGGGATGCAATTAAAAAGCCGCGCGTGCGTGGGGGCGCGATTAGAAAGGAGACGGCGGACGAAATGACTCTGTCAACGTTTTTTACTTTTTTCTAGTCTGCTCTACGTTTGTAGGGAGACGAGGGGAATCGATGCTTCCTCGTCTGATGCTATAGCTAATCGTTCTCTATAAATAGGTATAACTCCAGACATAGAATAAATAGCCTTATAGAGTATTAAGTAAATTTTATACTCTGTGTAAACATATACTTACGAGACGTTACTAAGTATAAAGACGTGTGTAATTTACTCAAATAATATTTAAAGTTAAGCAACTTATATTATTTACGAGTAAAAAATGAGCGTAAATGATCAAATTAATTTTACTCAACACTCTTACAAATGACGTAAATATTAGATAGCGGAATATCATTGCGGCACTCACGCGATCTAATTTATTTGTCACAATTATAGCCATCGCTAAAATTTCTGAAGATTTACATCAAATAGTTGATAAGTTATAAAAAACATACGTAATATTTAGGAAATGACTAAAATATTTTTAAATTACGAATAAAAAAAAATAAGAATAATCCCGCCAAAAATATCATCTATGCCAATATACAATGCAGGCCACAGACAATGCGTCTAGTTTAGCTGTATGGGGTTCGTGCAACGACTACGATGCTGCAGACGAGAGCTCCGCGCTCGGGGCGTCTTGCGAGCTCAGCGCTTGCAGGTCCGCCACGCGTAGCTAACGGCGTATGTCAATAAGCGTACTAGTGCGTCTTTCAAATTTCATTTAAATTTCGAATTCAATATTACGTTGATTATAATTTTAATTCTAAATTGATTTTTTATAGCCAGTATTTAGTGCTTTTATTTTATATTTCAAATTGAATATATCTTTCAAATTTAATTCAAATTTCGAATTGAATATTGTATTGATTATGTTTTTAAATGATCTCTATTTTTTATCGCAAGTATTTAGTACTTTTACTTTATATTCCAAATTCAAAATTATTCTTACAAATTTTATTGAAATTTCGAATTGAATATTATATTAATTATATTTTTAAATGATCTTTATTTTTTATCGCAATTATTTAGTACTTTCACTTTATAACTTTCCAAATTCAAAAATTTATATTATTATATTGATTTATTTTGAAAAATTCTTTATTATTCTTTATCGCCAGTATTTAATACTTATAGTTTACCTATTAATACTTTTCTAGTGTTCTTAATTTAAAAGTAATATGGTATATATTAACTAGTTTAAAATGGAGATTTAACAAATTATTTTAAAGTGTTAAACGCCTTCTTTTTACGTAATGCGTAATATGTTTAATATTTATTTATAATTAATATAGGATTGAGATAAATATATATTTTTTCTATTAATGTTTTTAAACTCACAAATAATATTTAAGTGAAATAAAGTAAATACACAAAAGTTTTAAAATACTAACAATACTAACTGAGCGTAACAGATTCAATATTTCTATAAGCTTTTATATATAAAACTGGCAAAACTGCTACAGAATTTGCACAAAGCTAATTAAAATTACGAACTAGTTGGGTCAACGGTCGGTCAAATGCAACTATTATTACTTTTAAATCATTATTTATGCAAGTTATCTAATGGCGAGCTCCGAGATGTGCTGCAAGACAGCTAGCTCGTGCACCGGGCGCCGTCCGCACTGCCCAATACGTTTCTATATTAGCATTATAATAGATTCCGTCCGAAGGGGTTTATTTGTTGCCTAGAGACGAATTAAAAATTATTTCAAGTTGATAATAATATATAGAAATAATTGTGTTTATGTTAATTTCGATTTAATAAGTATAAATACGAATTCACAATGAAGAGTTGACGTGAAATTGTTAAAATTCTAGAGGTCACTTCCGGTTAGCTAACGTTAATATTTTGTATCTTTAATCGTGTGAAATATGCAATTAAAATTAATAATAAAATTTTAAGTGTGAGATTTTTTTAATAATAGGGAATATTTGACTGCGTTGCTTATATTAATATTTGTTGTGTTTTAATTTAAAACTCGTTCTGAAACTTTTAGCAAATAAACAATAAAATAAAACGGGTTAACTAATAATAAAAGCTAAATGAGTGTAAAATTAAAAGCGATGTAAATGAGTATTTCTTACCTGTCCAGGCGCCATAAACCACTTTAAAAATGTTAGTCAACAGAAACAGTATCAACAAAACTTCAACAAAGTCACTAGAAGTCAATGTCTGGCAACAGAGCAACGCGTAAAAAACCAGGCCGAAAACGCGTTAACAAAATTTGCACTAATAATAAAAAAAGTAATAAATTTGAATAAAATAAATGGAATCGGCTTTTTGAATGTGGAACGCGGCGCGCGACCGTCCAGCCAATCCGTCCCGCGACTAGTTCGCTGTCCACACACGCACGTGAGAAACTTTAGCCGAACTTCGTCCGAAAACTTTCCCCGCACGCGTCCCAATAGTTCGCTCGTCGACGCGTTCTATTCCAAACTTGAAAATTGTTCGCCCGAAACCGGATGCTGGATTTAATTGCGGATATTAATTTCCTATAATTTTTTAATGTGTGTATTTTTTTTCAGAGGCGTCCACCCGTCCGGTCGGGTCCGGTCGGTCTGCAATATTAACACGAGCCGCGTCCACCTTTTGTAATGAAACGTTCACACATGCTTCCGCATTACCGTCCCGATGCCATCAATAATGAAGCCGGGCGGGAAAAAACAAAACGGGGCACCTCTCCCGACGAGGCGCCCGCCGACACTACAGCCTCCTCGTCAAAGATCAGAATTGCATATCTGGGTTGCGTTAATGAGCGGGGGGTGGGGGTCGTGGGGGGTCGAAAAAGTGGCACCGCTCGCGCGCGAATATAAATTCATCGCCAAAAAATCATTACGCGGGGGGTGGTATTACGGGCGCTCGCTGCGCGGGTTCGTTCGTATAGTTTTTAAATCGGGCGCTCATTCGGTGGCGCGGCGTCGCGACGGGCGGCAGCCGCGCCACTGCCGCCGACCTGCACCTGCATTATGACCTGCAACTATCACGCATGCACCTTACACTTCAAAAAACCAAACTTCACACAAGACACTTACCCGCCGTAGGCGTCTCGAATCGAACACCGTATTACTCGAACGTTCGAAATTCAAACACTACATTTAAAAAATACAAATCGGCGGGAAATTAATAACATCGAACTGCTGGCTGGAACGTTCGAAATTCAAACACGACATTTAAAAAATACAAATCGGCGGGAAATTAATGCGTTCCAGCGCGGGAGATGGATTGATTTTTTGAAAAAAGAACTGATCCACGTGTATGCAAATTTCTCTTTTCGACGACGATCGTAATCAATTTGTGCGTAGGAAGTGGGTACACTTCCGCACGCACACACGCCTATTCTAGTACGCACACATTCTCACAATGTGCGACTCAAATTAAATCTAATACAAAATTGCGTTTTATGTTCATGCTAGTGCGTGTGGGTGTGTGTAGGGGCGCACAATGCGAACTCGCGGCATGTACACTCCGCACAGTTATTTAGAATTAGAAAAATACAAATGTGGTAACCATTAATTAACATAACATAAATTAACAAATTATCCACGACATATTATTAACATTACCTATAAGCTATATTTAATAATAAACAAGCTTCTACACGTGACTTTGTTCGCGTGACACCATATATCGCCCTCAAATTTCAATTATAACGCCCAATTTCATAATGATCTTTGAGAAATAAACAAACATATAAAAATACTATCTATCAGAGAAGTAATATATTCCGCACTGGTATTGAGAAAGAAAAAAAAACACTATGCCAAGCCAGGTGGCAGTACCCTAATTCAATATGGACCGTCCAACAATCTGATGCTGTAATGATTTACATTATAAAAAAGAATTCTCCTAATATAATAATCTCATAACATTAATATTAGATTTAAAGACAAACTTGCTGTTTTCTTTCCCAAACATCGTTTCTAAAAAGTCAATAGGTCTTTTATGAGAATAAGTACAAAAATTTACAATAATACACCAAATGATGTACTGAAATTACCCTTAAATAAATTCAAAACATCTGTTAAATCATATTTACTTAGCAAAGCCTATTACTCACTAAACGATTACTTGAATGACGAGCGTGCATGGCAATAGTTGTTCATGCTCGGGACTTTCATTTAATGTTAGATATAGACACCTATATAAGTACATAATGTAAATAAACTGGCTTAAAAAAAGAAATTCAGCTCAGTTTCTAGTCCTGTTCTTCTCAATTGAATCTGAGACTGGACTGGACGGTAGGGAAAAAATATTAATACAAAAAAGATCAAGTTTATAAGCGGCTAACATGTCCTATAGAAATAAATGATTTTTAAGTAATATATGCTTCTTGTGTCTTCTAAAATCATACTCATGTGCGTGTTAAACCGTTAGATTACAGAGACCGTCAGTAGTCGTCGATATATGTGTATAATAAATAACCCTGGACAAATAACACAGCGCCATCTAGTCCCACGGTAAGCAGAGCTTGTATTGTGGGTATTAGACAAGTGACATAAATACTTTTTTTTGTAAAAACATACATAATATATCATATTCTATGTATCATACTCATCACTACACTTAGACCACCGAGGCAGTCGATAAATATATATAATAATAATACTGTATAATGTTAGGGTTCCCATCGATATTGTCGAAAAATCTGATATTTTATATTAAAAGAAGGTACATAGTTTCATTATTACTCGGTATCGTTAAACTAGTTGCATATAACAAAATGTACTCATATCTTCTCTGTATAAAAAGGAGGGTTTTTGTAGGCCGCAGCATTCGGTCTTTGAGCACAGGATGTGCTGTACATAGAGTTGATATATCTAACAATAATGAGATAATATCGTATGTAACATGGGATCGCATAGATCTCCGCACCGTCGCAGATTTCCGCACCTAACTGTACTTTAAAACCCACACAAGCTTAATGTTAAAAATGAATTACAAACACAACCCAGCCGCCTCCCTACTACACTCATTTTCATTTCGATGTTTTTGGGTTTTTGCGCAGATAGGGGGCACCCCCCACCCGGGGGTGGGGGCGCCACCCTCGCCCTATGAAAATAGGATATATTTTTATGTTTTATTTGCCCGGAAGCCTGAAGCTTAGTTGCATGTTTATTAGAAGTTTTTATTAGTAGAAACAATACGGTTTCGGTTTTTTTTCGCGTTTTCCGGGTTATGCCGCTTTGCCGCATCGGTACACGATGATTTGCGATGACAATTGTATAGGTCGTAGTCACGGCATGTTTGTTTATCATTAGGCATAGTTTTATCTTTATTGGTTCAGTGCCGGCACATTTTTGATTTATTATTTTACCTCTAATATTTCTTTACTTCTAAAAATATAGTAAATTTACTAAATTAATATTTTTAATCAGTAGTTCACGCAAGTTTCTTGCTCATTCTTCTTGTGATGAGTCTGCTTTCCGAATGAGTGGTAGAATCAAAATATGACTATTCAAAAGTGCTTGTAATGAGTTTATTTGAATAAAGATTATTTCTATTACTATTTCTGTAGTCTAGCGGTTTAGCAAACGGCCTTACTTCCGATGATCGCAGGTTCGAATACTCGTACGACACAAACATTTGTATTCACGAGTATGATTGTTTGTAACGGTCAGGTGATTGTAATTAAGAAATAAAAAGTGATTTGTATCAGTTATTTAGTACCTATAACAAACTTTAGCTACCTTAACTTGGGATTAGATGGCGCTGTGTGAATTGTCCTGAGATTATTATTATTAATAATTAATTATACCTAATTATTAGAACATTCAGTTGAAGAAAATTGTCGACCACTTTTCAAAAAAATTAACACACTTCGATTGACATATATGTATATTAATAACATTTATACAATTAAGAATAATAATAATAATATTTCAAGACAATTCACACAACGCCATCTAGTCTCAAGCTAAGCAGAGCTTGTGTTATGAGTACTAGATGCTGATACAAATACTTAAACATGTTTTTGTAAATACATACATAGAAAATACCCACGTTTGTATCGGTCTGGGTAATAATAATAATAATAATCTAAGGACAATTCACACAGCGCCACCTAGTCCCAAGTTAAGCTAGCTAAAGCTTGTGTTACGGGTATTAGATAACTGATACAAGTACATAGATATTTTTTTTCGTAAATACATACATATTATACATAGAAAACACCCAGACCGATACAAACAATCATATTCATGAATACAAATGTTTGTGCCGTGCAAGGAATCGATCCCGCGACCATCGGAAATAAACCGCTAGACCACCGAGGCCAGCAATATTAAGAGTAATGAGATGTTCCGATCTAAGCGTGCAGTCGATGTCGCTACGGCGTAGAGGGAAGCGTAGACGTGATTGTAGATAGAACTTATATTACACTAGCTACTCGGCCCGGCTTCGCGCGGGTGTACACGTATTATACATATAAACCTTCCTCTTAAATCACTCTATGTATTAAAAAAAACAGCTTCAAAATCCGTTGCGTGGTTTTAAAGATTTAAGCATATATAGGGACAGACAGCGACAGCGACTTTATTTTATACTATGTAATGATAATATTTACTTTTAAAGGCGAGAAGATTAGAATAGAATAGAAAATCCTTTATTAAAACAAACTTAAATTTAATCACTTTCTAATAGTCATACTTATTTTTTTAATCTACGGCTCATTCGGAAAACTCTCTCATTACAGAGAAAACGAGAAAGAAACTTGCGTGTTGCTCTTATAAATAACTAGCTACTCGCCCTGACTTCGCACGGGTCTACACGTATTATATATATATAAACCTTCCTCTTGAATTACTCTATCTATTAAAAGAAATAGCTTTAAAATCCGTTGCGTAGTTTTAAAGATTTAAGCATACATAGGGACGGACAGACAGCGACAGCAACTTTGTTTTATTCTATGTAATGATAATATTTACTTTTAAAGGCGAGAAGAATAAAATAGAATAGAAAATCCTTTATTAAAATAAACTTAGTATGACTATTAGTCATACTTATTTTGTTTTCTTGAAGGTTTCAGTATCGTATCGGTTCGGAAATACCATTGCTTGAAGGTGATTCCACAATGTGGTTGTGCGTGGCAAAAAGTTTCTAGAAAACCGTACTATGGATACATACTAATATAAGTATTACATATATACAATTTATTTTTACAATTATCGCCAAACTGCTTTGTAGTTTGTTTCCGAATGAGGACACTCATTTTTACTTATACTTAATTTACAATTTAACTATAATATAGAACTTTTTGAGCATTTTTTCGAGTAACCATCTTTTCAATTTAAATTTAAATATTTCTTTACTTGAACAATCGTTTTCGTTAACACACTTAAACGAACTATGAACACACAAGTTTCTTGTAGTTCATAGTTCGTTCATATTCAATGTAAGTTAAATGATTTTCTATTCTATTCTATTCTATTCTATTCAATTTAAATTTAAATATTTCTTTACTTGTAATTAGTTCTAGTTCATAGTAGTAGTTGGTAAATTTTTCTTTTGGTATTTAATTGAATTAATTTCTTCTAGCACTATTTTTTTAGAGTCAGAATAATAAATACGCAACTAACTGGTTGTTGTTGCTG